CTCTTCCGGTTGATTCTCAGTTATTTCCTTTTAAATTAACTCGCCAAGTTTTTTTCGGTTTACTTAAGCCTGGTATTCAACTTACACCCCTTTGGGTCTAGTCACTGGATCTAACCAACGTCTTTGAGGCGGAAACGTTGTGAATATAACAATGAAAGTGAGGATAACAGTGTAAATAATGTAAATAATCATAATACCTCATCTCAGAGATATAGAAAAACACTTTTCCTTGTTCTCAATGAAATTATGAACTGTTTTATAATGAACCATCACATTGAATCAGTTATATATTTTGAGAAATTTAATTTATGGATGTTGCCTTGAATCCTTTTTCTTAATTAACACTATAGCTCGCTAATGGTAAGTCTACAATTGTGAACACTTAACTGAATTTTGTTACTGGCAAAGGTTTGAGTGTCAAATTAAAATAAACAGCAATACATCAAAAATAGGCCAGTAAAAGTTGTGAGCAAGTGCGCTTAAGTACACTATATAAATATAAATCTTGGCCACCTCGAGGTGAGGAAATGGTTAGCAAGTTTTTTTTCTTGCTAGAACAATTACGACTGAGTAGTGAGTTCAATCCTCACTGGGTGCCCCTTACTTTCGGCCTTGTGCCACATCCAAGCTGCACTTGGAAAATCACTATATAAGTATAAGCGCAAAATTATACGAATATCTACATTTTGTCTGATAAAGCAGACTGTTTATTATTATTTACCCTTGTCCTCCCACTGAGGCAAGACGTGACACAAAGTTGGGTTTAACGTGGAGAACCCGTGTACGTACAGCCGGATCAAGGACAACCACTGCCCAGCCCCAGGCACCGTCGGTTGCGCTAGCATCGGTATGTCTATCGATCCAACCTCTTAAGTGCAATGGGGATTGCAGCCTCGGGAAGCTGTTCCGCGGGACTGGACACCTAACAGTGTTTATTTTCCTCAGCTGCGTCTCTGACAGAGCCACAACTGAATCTCACTCTGCTAGAAGAGAGAGAGAGACGCAACTGAGAGATGATAAAACCTACCCGGCATGTGCCAGGTAAATATACACACATTGTTTAGTCACTGGCACATAGTCCGTCTATTTGTACATATCTAATATGCCAGACGCTTACGTAAACTTTCACTTGTCTGCTTGAGTTCAACACGAAACTCTATACTTTGATCTATTGTTGTTAGTGGCTTCGATGTGTGTCTCAGATGTTTGGTTTGTTAACAGCAGAATTAAAGAAGAAAATAAAGTGGAACTAGAAGAGGGGATATCGGCGTACGTTCAACTTCTTGCGTCTAAACCAAGGGCAGACATCAATCTGTGTTATCTTCTGTTTATCCCAAAAGGCTAAATGCAGACACTGGAATATTTCCAGAAATTAATTCGAGTTATTATATTTTTCGAAAAACAAAGTGGATACATTAAAAATCTGCCAAAGTCTATTATGGAAACCTTAGAAGACAAATGTAATATCAGAATGAATGCCAATCCGACTTTTAAAGATGCGTAGTAGTTTTAAAGGAAAATATCTGTTTGTATTTGATTTATTTATCTCAAAACATATCAAAGTGTCGTTAAATAACTGCAATTTAATAATAATAATAATGATGATGATGATGATAACAATAATATTAATAATAATGATAATGTTAATAATAAAAATAATAATAAAAGCTCAAATAATAATAATCAATAATCAAAGCTAAGCGCCCAGACATTATTGTTATTAGAGATCGCTCACAAAAAAGTGCCTCCTCCTTGATAGTCCTGCAGGCTGCAATGTATCTTTCAAGATCTTCAAAAAGCTATCAAAATACAAAGACCTTGAAATCAAAATCTCAAAAATGAGGCATATGGGAACATCAACAATCCCTGTTGTAGTTGGAGTCCTCGGATTGGTTAGAAAAGACTCCAGTAGACTAATTGATGGGATTCCTTGAAGCCCATGCCTTAACGAAATACAAAAGATTGTTCTCACGAGTACAGCCAACACTTTACGAAGGGTTGGACCCGGAAAGAAATGAATACACATAAGAAATCAAAGGAAATAAATAAATTATTATTAATAATAATAATAATAATAATAATAATAATAACATTGCCCATCTTGTATGAGACTGAATGGTGTTAGCACCCGGTGAATATAAAACTCGGCATGATAGAGTGGGACAATATGTGCACTGGAAAATATGCAACTTTTACGGGAAGGAAACTGCAAGAAACTGGTATGAACATCACCCACACTCGGTTACAGAGATAGAACCAGTAACAATCTTATGGGACTTTACAATACACACAGAACAATCAAAGCTAATCGCCCAGTCATCGTTATCAAAGACCACTCGAACAGAATGTACTTTCTTATTGACATGGCAGTCCAAGCGGGTTGTAATTTATGTTTGAAGATCGTTAAAAATCTATCAAAATACAAGTATCTTGAAGTGAAAATCTAAAAAAAAAAAAAAAAAAAAAAAAAATGGCTCATTAAAACATCAGTAATTCCAGTTGTAGTTGGAGCTCTCGGATTGATTGGAAAGGGTTCCGATAGACTAAGGGATTCCTGGACTGATAATTCGAAAAGTTGTACTCACAAGTACAGCTCACACATTACGAAGATCTTTAACTATGTAAAATGTGTGTGATCTTAAGTTTGTTTTGATCAGTGGAAAATGTCATGAAGCCATTTCTGATCTTAGGTCTCTGGTTGGAGCCCGGAAGGAAATTTGTATACAACAGAAATCGAAGGAAATAATAATAATAATAATAAAGTCACCAGATATTATAGTCCAGAGAGATAATGTCATTGAAACACAAATATCCAACCTTATTCTTATAGAAAAGGAAGGGGAATAGCAAGTGTCAATTTATTGATATTGCTGTTGTATATGATACAATAGGGTACCCCAAAGTAAAAAAAAAAAAAAGGAAAGAAAGAAAAATACCAGGATCTTGTTAGGGATCAGAAGAATCCCTGGAACATGAATGTAGAACGAATTCCTGCAGTAATTGGTGCACTTGGAACACCACCAAGAAATGTGAAAAAGCACTAATGGAGAATTGGAGATGCGACCAAGATTGCAAAACTGAAAAAAAGCTGCCCTCATTTAACTGACATGGATGCTCTGATAAGATCTTGAGTTGTGAGGCGTCATATTGACACCATGCCTGATAAACAAAATGTATATAATATTTATAAAATAAAAATGACACGACAGGCAAGATTCATATTTCTTCTAATCTTCACTAAGTGGAGGTTTTAACTTGTATATGCCAGTCAAGGTGAATTAAGATGGGCTACTATAAATACCCCGTTCATTAGCTTGGATCTTGAGGAGCTGACACACTGTGCATCCCTTTTCATGTCTCTGCGTGATGGGCGAAGAATTATTGGTTGGTGTCGAGAGCGACCTGGGAATGACATGTGGAGATCTGGAAACTGAACTGATAGGCTTACCCGAACTGAAGGTGTTTGTAATTTTAGCCCACCTGCGATGTTATGCGCAGTTTCTGTCAAAATCTGTCGCCATATGGCGTTCATTAGGTGGAGATACCCTTAAGAGTCTGGGTGTCATGATGTGCATATTGGACTTCGTATATTGGTACACCGGCGCCATTTTGTTGTCGTTCTGCTTTCATAAACAACAAAACAACAACAACAAAAACAATAATAATAATAATAAAAATGTTCCGATAGACTGATTAAAGGGATTCCCGGCAGCACATGCCTTAAAGAAATGCAAAACATTGTGCGCACAAGAGCAGCTCACACATTACGAAAAGCATTATCTATGTTAAAATGTGTTTTATCTTAGAGGTAGTTTGTTTAATAAAATTGATCAGGGGAAAATGTCATCAAACTATTTCTGACCTTAGCTCTGTAGTTGGAACCAGGAAAGAAATGTGTATACAACAGAAATCAAAGTACATAATAAAAATAATCCTCCTCTTTCCTCCTCCTACTAGTAAGAAGAAGAAGAAGAAGAAATGAGGTAGATAAAGTGATTATGTGAGAGTGGTTGAGAAGTACAATCCTAGTTTTAAGATGTCTGTCAATAATTTCTTGTAACCATAGCAACATAGCAATGGATTCCACATTTTTTTCTTCTATATCTGTATTTCAGTTATGGAACGTGATTTAAAAAGTAAAAAAGTAATTTTTTTTTTGCGTTTTAAATTTATATGATTCAACATTTACTTTAAAAATATCTCAGTTGCGTCGACGTTAGAAATATTAGACTGCAGTTTGAAATTGGAAAATAATCTCAAATATTTCAAAATGTAATGGAGAATCTAGCAAAATAGATTTTTTTTTTAAATCTCAATGAGACTAAACCTATTTTTTTAAAAAATCGTCATTTAAAAATTGACTTCAAAATTCGAAGAAATATGTATAGAATTATAATAAAATTCTTAATTGAAAATCAGTTGAATTAGGGTACACTTTTTACAATAATTTAAAAAGTTTTGACAAATATAGGCAAAAAATAAACATATGGACTTTTTCGGCATCTGTTTGTCGGTTAATAGCAAGATGACCTCATATATCGTTAGTGATAGGCTGAGGGTTCGATCTTCATTCGTCGCCATGTGTGTGTCCTTGGGTCAAAATAAGCATTAAACCATTTCGATATTAAACTAATTTTGATTGTTGGTCTCACAACGTTTCGTATGCTGTCTGGACTTCGTCAGGTGTCAAAAATGCCCGAGTCAATATCCGGGTATTCTTCAGGGAATCTCGCATTGAACATATCTAATCTTTAGTGGTATATTCCACTAATCCATGGCTATGGATATCTCGTCGTCTATTTTACTACTGCTGTTATTTCTTGTCCTGCTTTTATTGATCCTGAGTATTTACTACTCAGCCCACAGATTGAACTCATAATTACTACGCCACGAAACTGGTTCGAAAATTCAAAATCGAAATAAGGATGACTCATCACCTCAGAAATGGAAACAGAAAAAAATATTAACCAATTATTCGTTAAACCACGCGTACATCCATGCTTGCAGCACGTCGTATTCCCAAGCGGTCATCCATCCAGGTATTGACCAAGTTCAACGTTACTTAACTTTGGAGATCATACGGGAACATGTGTTTCAACGTAATGTGTTCGTAAGTTCTACACGAGAAGAGAAATACAAGTTCGGAGAAGACCCCCATAGACACACATCCAGTCGCTGACATTAAATTGACTAAAATAAGTATATTATTCCAAATAGAGATAATGATAATTCCTAGAAATTCAGACAAATATTCATTTTTTTCCTGTTATACGCTGAATAACTGCAGTAAAATATGTTTTATGTTTATTTTCCTTCTGCTTTAGCTCGCCATTTCCTGCTCACTAATTTGAAAGTGCGCTGAGGAAAAGTTGAATAAAAAAAAAAAAAAAAAAAAAAAAAAGCTGCTCTTTCATATCTTATTTCTTTGTAGCAAGGAAAGTAGCAATTTGTGAAACGGCTCAGCAGGTGGGTATTGGCACCTCATAAGCAATCATTCTTCTCGCTTACCGCCTTTTTACTTCCATACGTTACACATACTTTACACCGCCTAGTATCTAATCTAGGAAATAGCAGATGGAATACTATATGATTCTGGAGCATTATCTCATACCTCACTGGAGATAAATTGATATTGCCAAATGAGAACTGTTTGCGTGCTATATACAGGCAGTTCAAGTATCGTAACTGATTAATTTTAATGTATATCACCTCCCGGCAAATATCACTTGATCACGACTGAGATATATTTAGATAGATAGCAACTAAGATGAGTTCAGTGGTGATCGGTTATAATAGCACAGGTAATACTGACACGGTAAAAATGACATAAAGGAAAAATAGGAACTATTTTTAAAAATTAGATTTAATTGAAACCAGCTTTTTTGCCAATAGTGTATATTTCAATAAACTTATTTTACAATTGTGTCCTTTTTCCTATTTTGTGCTATTTTACCGTGCCATTATTACTCAAATTCGAGATTAGTATGTGATTAACACCAGCAAAGGGTATGACTTGGATTTACTATCAATGGGGTATCGTCGTTCTGGGTGAGGTTAATCAGCATTGAATTCGATATAGATCGCACTCAACTTAGATGCTTCCAGAATAGACTTCCCATGCAGTATCATGCTAGACCGTACAACAAAAAAAAAAAGAAACAGTTGAGTATTGACATGCAATATAATTACTTGGTCGACCCAGCTGCTCTAAGATGTACACACGGGGGATAAACCGTAGAATAGTTAAACATACAAAACACCCATCTTTGAGGCAGCAGGTCAGTGTCTGTAGCACCTGCCCAAGAGGAAAAATAATCCACGTTCGAGGAAGGCCACAAAGATGCATAGTCAATTCCCGACACGAAACTGATGACGTCTAATTCTACCTTTGAGACCTTTCATCATTCTTTCTAAGAAATATCATTACATCAGTTTTTACACTGAGCAATAGGCTAGGATAAGCTTGAACTTACAACACTAACTTTCCGAGACACGACCGCTCTAATAGAAGCTCTTTGCCAGACCCATTTCGATTGGAGTATATAAATTAATATTCCTTGAAAATGTAAAAGCTAACTTCATTTGTCGTTCGACCCATGGAGTCCGGTAATTTGATGGTTTTAGAAAGCTGCGGATAATTGAATACACTGATTCTATTATGTTGTTAGGGACATCAAAGGCACTAATAATACTTATCAAATAAATTCATTAAAAATTTGCAGTCCACCACTGTCTCCAAACTGTTTTAATTTGTTACAATATACTAAGTATTCTGTCAAATGTAATTTCATTTCTTATGCTCAAGCTTACCTCAGTTAGTTCTCTCTTTCATCTATGCGCGCACACATACATACACACATATAAACGCCCGCGTGCATGCATACAGATTACTTCTCTTCTCTTCTTTGTGTTGTGTCCTTTCAGTACGTGGACGACCATGGCTCTCCACAGCTTCTTATCTTTGGTCAATGTTAGATAGGCCTCAAATGCCTTCAATAACTTTTCAAATTGCAGATTCTCCAATCCATCTTTCCTCATTATGTGCCAGAGAAATTTTAACTCTTTCTGATTTTAAATATAAATATCCTTTTTTTTTAAAAAAAAAAAAAATTCATCGTTTCTCACATGCTCCATCCATGGTATTTTCATTATTCCCCTGTAACACGATATTTCGAAGCAAAAGAGATGAAGACTTTCCCATTCACTGTTCTTAGTTTTTAACGAAATCTTCCTGTTTCTTATGCTTATACGAAATTAGATTAAAAAGTTGCAGTTTACCAACTCGTTATAAATTAAAAAGAGAATGTGCATTTCGACTCTTTGGAGGCAAGTGGCAAACATATTTGTTCTAGCAAGATGCCAATACAAAAGTTAGATTATTACGTGGCACGAATATAGATATAAAAGACGAGGTTATGTTTTAAGACGGAGTCTGAGAGAAAGGCATAGAGGACAGAATTCGGAACCAGGCATCCTCTCAGCCATACGCAACTTGGGGGCGTGTCGTAGAATGTCTAGACCTTCTACTTTTCGTAAGACTCATGTCATCGCAACCAAATTACTGAATAAGAAAAATGGAGATCATATTTATTTTTTTTTAAGTCTAATATAAAATATTGAAGACGAAAAGCGCCGGATGTTAGAAGAGAGAAAGAAAGAACGGAAGGAAGAAAGGCAGAAATGAAGATTATGGAAGGGAGGGAGGAAGGAAGAAAGAAAGGCAGAAATGAAGATTATGGAAGGGAGGGAGGAAGGAAGAAAGAAAGGCAGAAATGAAGATTATGGAAGGGAGGAGGAAGGAAGAAAGAAAGAAATAAATGAAGATTATGGAAGGGAGGGAGGAAGGAAGAAAGAAAGGCAGAAATGAAGATTATGGAAGGGAGGGAGGAAGGAAGAAAGAAAGGCAGAAATGAAGATTATGGAAGGGAGGGAGGAAGGAAGAAAGAAAGGCAGAAATGAAGATTATGGAAGGGAGGGAGGAAGGAAGAAAGAAAGAAATAAATGAAGATTATGGAAGGGAGGGAGGAAGGAAGAAAGAAAGAAATAAATGAAGATTATGGAAGGGAGGGAGGAAGGAAGAAAGAAAGAAATAAATGAAGATTATGGAAGGGAGGGAGGAAGGAAGAAAGAAAGAAATAAATGAAGATTATGGAAGGGAGGGAGGAAGGAAGAAAGAAAGAAATGAAGATTATGGAAGGGAGGGAGGAAGGAAGAAAGAAAGAAATGAAGATTATGGAAGGGAGGGAGGAAGGAAGAAAGAAAGAAATGAAGATTATCAAATGAATGAAGAGAAAGAAGTAAATAAAGAAATTATTGTTATTGTCTTGACTTTTTCTTTTTCTGTATGCTGAATGAATGAAAAATGGTTCCGATACCGTAAAGCAAAAAGCATTTTAAACTGAAAGAAATTGTTTTTTGTGATTCTCTTGTTTGTTATTTTATTTTATAAGCAACAGAAAATAAATCTATGAGACGGTCAAGTGACAACAACCTTTATACCAACGTTTACATCACACACAAACATACACATACCTAAAAGTTTGTGTGTATCTGTGATAATCATATATGTATTTTTCTATTTTGTGGATGGGCGAGGAAGGGAGAGAGGGAGGGAAATCGTGCTGTTCGTTTTTCGAGAGCAAATTATTCAAACCCACTTTGATTTTCATATGAATGCTTAGATGTGACAAAAAGTGCTGTCAAGTCTGAAAAACAAATTTAAATATCCCTGTTTGTCTTAACTTTATTCAAATCTATAGAATAGCTGAATATTTTTCCATTACAAAGATCGCGTATTCATGTATGGAACCTATTTGTCACGTGATAGTCAGATCTTTATTCGTGGCCATCTTTCGTTTAAGTAAATAACGAAGAAAAAAAAAATAAGGGTTACAATCGTGAAACAGGCTTATCAAAATTAATTATTATAATGGCGAAAACTAAATAATCAGCAAGAATCAGCACTTCGATACGAGCAGGGAACCAATTTTTCTTCAGATTCTATCTCCAAGAACGAAAGAGCTGTCCAATTCAGTAATTATTATTATGTAATAGACAACATTACGCGATTTCTTGTCCGAGTCTAAAATCCTAAGCGAAACTGAATTTTATCATTTACTTTCTAGCCAATAATAATAATAAAACTTTTTCTAGCCAATCGAAAAAGAGGAAAACCTTTGTGCTCAGTTACGGGTTAGTTTCATTCTATCTTTTTCTGGGGACACTCGAGTGGTTTTTATTCTGGTATAGACAATCAATTTTCCTCATTTTTTTAAAAATCAAATTTTAATATTTCGAGTAACATTCTAGTTTCCGAAGGACATTAAAATAGCGTAACGATAAAAATTTACAGAAGAACGTTAAGAATAGAAAGAGCAATTTAAAATTTAGAAAAAGTCAACCCGCAGTGGTTAACAAACAAATAATTGGCTACTAAAAGTGCGAGGTGAATTATTTGTTAGTTGTTTAGGTTTTACATTAAAAATATTACTGTCATATCTTATGTTTTTTTAATTAATGTTCTTTTATTGTTCTCTCTCCTTAAAAATATTTCTCCTTTTTTTCATATTTGATATTTTCTCTTAATGCTTTGTAACTTAATTGCCCTTGGTGTGAAATGATTAAACATATATTATAATCATTTTATTGATTTTCATATAATGTCGAAATGCGGTGTATGGCTACGCCTGAGATTTTTCAGGAGTACTGTTTAGTTTTAGGTATAATGATTGCATTACCATATCACAGTCAGTAGTTAGTCGATTACTTTTCGGGGAACCGGTAAAATAAAAGGTTTTACTGACATTTTAGAAAATAGCTTTTATTCAGCGCCAACGAATCCAGATAAATATTTTTAAATCGAAAGGATTTGAAGTCTGCTACACAATGGTACATTTCTTAAGTCGTTTTTTGCCAATATTTGTATATACTAGATTTATATCGGTCAAAAATGTGCTCGTTCGTCTGTGTAAATGGGAGAGCGAGTCGTTCTTCACAGACACTAAGACGAAGTAACCATTAAATAACAGACAGGAATCAGCGCTATTCACGAACATACTAACCATGAGATTTCAGTTTATCATTTTTGTTTTTCTTTTGCT